GAGGGAAACTATAAAATAAGATTAATTATCTAGACTTTAAAATAACTATCAAACTACATGGACATGATGTTGATAATCAGAAAACACGTACAACATCACGTAAAATAAGTGAACAGGTCCGTGTTGGGTCCGATTTTAAGGTATTTGTATTATTAAACTTTTCAAATTTTAAAATCATGACCTGCAACTCTGAAATCATAAAAAAACGTTTTGGCCCAAAAGCAAGAGATACAGTAAATGCACACGTAAAGCCTTGGATAAAAATAAAAAAAAGATTATGGGCTACGCTGAATTATAAAAACAGCTCAGACAAAAAACAAACACACACACTTCCGATTAGTTTGAGGATTGTGTTAATCATGCTCTGAGTGTTTGTTGACAGGCGTTAGTTTCTTTGCTAAGAGACCCCGGTGGAGTATTGTATCTGCACAGCAGGTTACAGGGCCACACCCAGTAGCTCTATAAAAAAATCCTCTGTCTGAAGGCCTCCGACTGGCTGTCTATTGCCCGAAAATAGTCCATAAGTCTAAAAAACCCCTCGGATGGCTATTTCCTGTCGTTCGTCGCACACTGGAGTCAGACCTCGTTTATTGCTAGTTAGTTTTATCTGGTCGTCTGCAAAACAAAGACTCTGATTAAGAACTTTCAGACACGTCTCAAACAGATTCAGTTCATTATATCGATCTACATACAATTCTTCACGGAGACGGAGCAGAAACAGCTTTTTACTCCGTTTGTTGACTTGTTAAATATGGAAAACTGAAAAGTATTCAGACTGCCCTGATTGTATCTATGGTTCATGACATAGTTCTTAGAGTTGGCCAGCTTGTGTTAGGAGACAGATTTTGAAAACCATTGAAAAAAAAACCTTACAGCTCTATTTGAACGTGCCTAAAACACAGCAGCCATACTTTTCACTTTGACGGAAAGTTCATTTCACTCTAAAAAAGATGAGATAATATTACAGAAAGCCTGTCAGTATAGAACCTACAAACCAGGCTTTTTGGGGAGGATGTCCAGAAGCCATTCTTCACAATGACTTATTGTAATAATCCAACGAAAACTCCTCTAATGTGGTTAACCTATTTTATTTAAACCCTATAACTATGAAATTTTAAAAAATACATAAAGGAAACCAGACCCAGAAGAATTTATAGTAATATCATTCTAGATATTTCACCGCTTAAAAGACATTGGAGACATTAAACAAATTAGGAAAATAGACACATAGGATTTTAGATAAGTACAGCATTTCTAGTTCTATTCATCAATATGCTTATTTATCTAATAACAGGTAATTTACTGAAAAACAAGTCTTAACAACAAAGTGTTAATTAATCTACTTCATTCTAAGTCTAAAGTATCCTGCTATACTACAAAATATCTCTTAAACTAGGCTAAAATTTGGGGACTGTGTGGATATTTGTATTATTTTGTGGCCATTGATACGTCGTTGAGGAGGACAGTGATAACAGACCCATCTGGGGTCCACATGAAGGCCACGTCTGGATCTTATCTGGAGAAACGGAGCTGTTCGGGATGGAAACCTGCGAGACGTCCAGGTGAAAAGCTGCAGCCCATCCATTCAGGGACGGCTCTGATGAGGTTATAGTAATCTGATAGGCCCAATTAGTGCTTGATTAGACTGGCTAATAATGAAGTGATCAAACAGACACTTTTAATACGAAAAGATGTTCCCCTTTTCTTTCCTGTTCTGAGCTCATTTGATCACTTTATTGTTCGGAATTCAGATCTACATTCTGCACGGAGAGGAAATAATGAAATCTCACTTATTTGAGCGGAATAAGAAACTGTGGAGTATCTCACTTCACGGCTCTTCCTGTTTGAGTTTCCTCTTTTGCTCCACGGAGCAGAAGTCCCTGCAGGATAATACTCGGATGAGCACTATCTGCAGACGGCAGCCCAGGCTTTACCCAAACTGCACTCCGGGACAGGAAACTATTTATGACCCCTCATGCCGAAGGTAAGACAAGACCAGGCTAAATATAGCTCGCAAAATCTCAAGAATGTCCCCCCGTTAGTCGATGTAAGTCTCTTTTTAGGTTTAATATAAACTCCGGCTTTTCCTGTGTCAATACCCATTCGCACAAAGTTGGCGTATTTACATATTTAATATCTAACATGGAAAGTATTTCAACGGGATAGGAATGTTTCCTCTGGACTGGAGCGTGTTTGACATGTAGAGATTCTTTACATTCTTTGTTGTCGATAAGCTTGAATATTTTCCTGTGACCCCTCAGCATCTTAGTGACGATTTAAAATTAGATTTTAATTCCTAAACAGACTGTTTTGAAGATGATCCATGAAATTGTCAAAATAAATAAATGAATAAAAAACTGACTCATGCTCATTTTTATGCCTCAGTGAAGAAATGAATCTTTAAGGTAACGTTTTTTGGGAATATCAGAAGCCCATTTAAAAGCTTCTAAATATTTGGGAAGTTTCATAAAGGGGGCCGTTTCCACTGTTGTTTATTGCTAATGATATTTTCACCTGAAACTCTGATATCATCCAGTTGTTTTTCCTTCAGGAAGTTCCTGCCACTGGTCATTAACTGTTGCTGAGGGGCCAAAGTTTGAGGAAAACAAAATCCAGCTTGGAGTTTGAGACGGGTGTGGGGTGTGTGTGTGTGTTTTGGGGGGGGGGGGGGGGAGATGAGATTTTATGATCAGGCTGCAGTGATTGGCCTGCATGGTTGCGGGTGTTTTTGTGCGTGTGGCGTTGCCGTGTGTGCTGCCTTGCCGTCGTGGGAGTTGAACTGACGTCAGATTTCTTCCGGCTTATTCAGGTGGCGCTGGACTCCGGCAGGTCTTCACTTTCCTAATCAGCTCCTCTGCTCTCTCATCCTTCCCTCCGCCTCTGCGCACTGGCGTCCACTTCCTGCCGGCGTTTTTAAGATCCGATTTCGGAGTCTCTGACTCACAACACTCCTCGTTTCCAGACTGGCTTTCTGGCCCCAACTGATCGGCCGAGCACGTTTCAACGGTCATTAATTGACCGGACAGCGCCACCTCTGAATATTCTTGCAGGTTTGTGAGTCAAACATCTAACATCTGCAGGTATGCAGCAGATTGCACAACTCACAAGGCCCTGGGAGCTGACCGGTCACTCTAAACAGGCTTTTGCTTGAATTTTAGATGGTAAATATACTGTTTTTAAGCGTAAAATGAACCAACACAGAAGACATTTCCAAATTATGTTTACGAAAACTTCCTGGAATGCAAAGTTTGTGGGTCAGATTGCTGTGAAACCATTGTGTGTGTGTCATCACAAAGGTGTGAACCCCTCAGGAACTGACGTTACACACCAAGCAGGCTGTTGTAACCCATTCATATCAACTAAGCAAACGTCATTATGAGGAGTTTGCTTAAACATGCATCAAAGTCCACGTCAGGTAGAAGGACTGGGAGGGGAGGGGGGGGGGGGGGGGGGGGGGTGTTGGATGGAGCTATTTTACGACTGTTGTAATCCCGTTCAACAAATGCTGGAGATACAGCAACTGTTTCCTCACTTCCTGCCTCCATAATGGCCTTTTCACAGCCCTTTTTCTTTTTCATTTCACTCACCCTCAAGGCTTCAAAGTTATCGGGTTGAATTTGAATGTAGTTTCTTGGTTAGAAATCAGATTTTTTATTTAATCGGCATCGGAATAAAGCATCCTGGCAGATATAATTTAGGCTAAAGTACATACATTACTTAATACTGTGATAATAGTTGCCATGGTGACGCATTTAGATGAGAATTCATGACAGATTTCTGGTGTCCATGTGGGCCCACTGGCACAACATACTAGCTTACATAAAAAAACGAATCAGTTTAAATGGTCCCTGGACAATTAAGATATCTTGGTAACTTTTATGAAACAACTCTATATGTTTACAAGGTTTCAATGGAGTTCTGGTTGGTAAAAAAATATACAATTTTACTGAGAAACAGTTGCAAATGTATGATCTCCTCACTTGATTATCTAATGGAGATCACCC